TGATTATTGTGTGCTTCAGTAAGATCTCTTTATATTTAATCTATTTGTGGTTATTTGATCTTCAAGGATCTGGATATTCTTTTTCCAGATATAGGAAGTTTTCTGCTATTATTTCTTTAAGTAAACTCCTCTCATCTCCTTCTCTTTTTTTGCTCCTTCTGGGACTTTCATAATGAGTAAATTTCTTTACTTGATGGTATCTCATAAATTCCATAGTTTCTCTTAATTCTTTTTCTTTCTTCTTCTTTTTGTTTCTCTGAGTGGGCAATTACAAATGACTTGTCTTTGAGCTCATGCTCTAGTTTGCTTCAAGATTGCTGTGGAATTATTCAATTCAGTCATTGTGTTGTTAGATTAAGAATTTTTGTTTTGTTCTTTTTGATGGTTTCTATCTCTGTTGAATTTCTAATTTTGTTCATGCAACAATTTTCTGATTTTGGTGTCTGTACAGAAGCTTGTCCTTTCCCCCAGTTTTGCTTTGTATGATTTCAGCTTCCTGTGGTCAATTGCAATATAAAAATAGTAAATGAAAAATTTCATTAATAAACAATTCATAAGATTTAAATTGCATGCCATTCTGAGTAGAGTAACGAAATCTTCAGTGGTCTCACTTCATCCCTCCTGGGACATGAATCATCCCTTTATTCAGTATATCGATGCCATAGACGCAACCCACCCATTAGTTGCTTAGCGGTCATGTCAGTTATCAGGTCCCTGTCTCAATAACCTGATAGTGCTTTTGTTCAAGTAACCCTCATTTTACTAAATAATGGCTTCAAAGTGCAGAGTAGTGATGTTGACAGTTTGGCAATGCCAAAGAGAAGGATAAAGTGTTTCTTCTAAGTGAAAATGTGAAAGTCTCAACTTAGTAAGGAAAGAAAAAAAACGTACACTGAGATTTTTAATTTCTGTGATATGAACAAGTTTACTCTGTGAAATTGTGAAGGGAAAAATTGTGCATAGTATCTAAAGGGTTTGATACCATCCTCGGTTTCAGGCATCTGCTGGGAATTGTGCAGTGTATCCTGCATGAGTAAAGTGGGACTACTGTATTCTCTTGTAGCTCACTGAACTTATTTAAGATGATTGTTTTGTATTCTTTATTAGGCAGTTTAAAGATCTCCATTTCTTTGGGATTGTTTGCTGGTGCTTTATTTTATTCTCTTAGTGATACCATGTTTCCCTGATCATTTATGATCCTTATGGCCTTAGTTTCTGTGCATTTGAAGAAGTAGACGCTTCTTCCAGACTTTACAGACTGGCTTTGGCAGGGGATTCCCTTTACTTAATGAGTCTATGCAGAGATTTTTGGTAGGCTTTCTGGCAGGGTTCATTAATGAGCTTTGCTGCTGGTGTCTTTTTGGGAGCTGGCCTTGTGACTGGGTCAGCAGGTGGGCTGAGCTGGTATCTGGGTCCCAGAGGCTAGCCCGTTGTCTGGGTTTATGAGTTTGAGCCTGGAGCCTGTATTCACTGGGGCAGACACTGACTTTGGGTCTTCTGTGGGGGGGCCTGGATCCTGGCTCCTCTGGGGCTGGCCTGGCACCAGGGTCTACTGGTGTGGGCCAACTTGATTGGGTCTGCAGGGGTGTCCCTAGTGCCTGGGTTCTTAGGGCTAGGCTTGGAACTTATGCCCATAGCAGCTGGTCTGGCACTGTGATGAGACTAGAGCCTAAGTCTGTTGGGGTCTGCCTGCTACTGGGATGGGCCTGGTACCTGGGCCCATGGGAGAAGGCCTGGAGCCTGTGCTTACAGGGGCCAGTCTAGTACTGAGATGCACCTGGAACCTGAGTTCCTGGAGGTAGGCCTGGTGCCTGCATCCGTGGGGCTGGCCTGTATACTGGGTCCATAGAGGATGGTCATGGCGTCTGGGTATGTACAATTAGCATTTAATGTAACATATTTCCCCTAACTTACTGGCTTAAAAGAACATTTCATTTGGCAGTTTCAGTGGGTTGAGAGACAGGTGTGGCTTTGCTGGGTCCTTTGGCTCTGGGTCACTTGCAGGCTGCATTCTTCTCAAGGCTTGACTGGAATGACAAGTCATTGTCAGGATTCAGTTCCCTGTAGGTTACTGGACTTGAGACTTCAGTTTGTCACGACCTGTTTAAAGGCTTCTTTTGTTTCTTTGACATGTGGCCTCTCCGTAGAACATCTCATAACGTGGCAGCCTGCTTTATTAGAACAAGCAGACAAGAAGATGACTGGCAAGAGAGAAGATGCTAGCAAATTGGAAGTCAGTTTTTTGCAGCCTAATAATAGAAGTGACACCCCCATCACTTCTGCAGTGTTCTCTTTATTAGAGGGCTAGCCTACACTCAAGGGTAGAGGATTACACAGGTGCATGAATACCAAGAAGCATGGATCATTGGGACCTATGTCAGAAGTTGTGTAAGAGAAACATTAATATCAAAATTAAGAATAAAACTACCAAATGATCCAGCAGTCTCACTTCTGGATACATATCCAAAGGAAATTGTGTCTTGAAGAGACATCTGCATACCCCATGTTCATTGCAGCATTATTCACAATAGTCAAGATATGGAAACAATATAAGTATCTGTTGACCAAAGAACAGATAAAGAAATACACATACACACGTATATACACCCAATGGAGTATTGTTCAATTTTTAAAAAGAAGGAAATTCTGTCATTTGCAACAATAAATGGATGAACCTGAAGGACATTATTCTAAATGAAGTAAGGCAGACACAAAAATAAAATACTTCATTATTTCACTTAAATGTGGACTCTAAAAAGTCTAGTTCGTAGAAGCAGAGAATGAAATGGTGGTTGCTAGGGAAAGGGCAGAGTTGGGAGGGGCCAGGAAAATGGGGATATATAGTACAAAGTTTTCCTTATGTAGGATGAATAAGTTCTAGAGAGCTAATGTGCAGAATGGTGACTATAGTATTGGCAAAAATAATGTTAGCTAAGTAAAGTGATAGATATGTTAATTAGCTTGACTATAGTTATTTCACAATGTGTATGTATATTAATACATGAAATTATGTTTCAATAAAACTTTTACTTAGAAGGAATCAAAGGCCGGGCACGGTGGCTTACGCCTGTAATCCCAGCTCTTTGGGAGGCCAAGGCCAGTGGATCACTTGAGGTCAGGAATTCAAGACCATCCTGGCCAATGTGGGGAAACAACATGTCTCCTAAAAATACAAATATTAGCCAGGCGTGTTGGCAGGTGCCTGTAATCCCAGGTACTAGGGAGACTGAGGCAGGAGAATTGCTTGAATTCGGGAAGCGGAGATTGCAGTGAGCTGAGATCACGCCACTGCACTCCAGCCTGGGTGACAGAGTGAGACTGTCTCAAAAAAAAAAAAAAAAAAAAAAAAATTGAGAAACAATCTTCCAAATATAAAAAAAAAAAAAAAAAAAAAAAAATAGCTATGGTAGCAAAGTTGCTGATGTCTAAATACTTTTGGATATTGATTTCAGTATGTGGTTACTTGGACTGCTTTAATTTTGATAGGATTCTAGTAAGAACAGCCTTCTTTTCTGAAATATAGAAGTCATTTAACTCATTGAATTTAATCAGAGAAATTTTAACTACTCATTTATTGTCAGTCTTCAATAGATAGCAAGCTATTGAAGGCAGAGGCTGGGGATACAGTATAAATCTGAACTCCCCCAGAACTTAACTACTAATAGCCTACTGTTGACAGGAAGCATTAACAATAACATAGTCAATTAACACATATTTTGTATATGTATTGTATATTGTATTCTTACAATAAAGTAAGCTAAAGGAAAGAGTTATTAAGAAAATTATAAGAAATATAAAATATGTTTGTCATTCATTAGGTAGAAGCTGATCACCAAAAAGGTATTCTGCCTTCAAGTTGAGCAGGCTGAGGAGGAATTGGTCTTGCTCTCTCAGCAGTGGTAGTGGCAGAAGAAAATCCACTTATAAGTAGATCTTTGCAGTTAAAATCCCTGTTGTTCAAGAGTAAACTAAACTTTTGCTCACCTAAGTAAACTTATGTTTATCTATTTTTTAAAAACTTGATTGAGCTATAATGCACCATAAAATTAATGCTTTAAATGTACAATTTAATAACTTTTTTCTTTCGTACATTTACTGAGTTATCCAGCCATCTCCCTAATTCAGTTTAGAACATTTACATGACCCCAATAAGGTTCCTTGTCAGGACTTTTCTTGATTCTTTCTCGTATAAATAATTGGTGACAAAAGATTTCTTATAACAGAGCTGTGTTTATTGCTTCTCTTATACAAATACAAATGTCTTCCTTGTCCTTCTGTACGAAATATAGACATTGTCAATAGTGTAAATTTTATTTAGTGGGCTGTATAATGAAATACATGAGATGTGTTTGAATTTATGCAACTTTTAGTAAGGAAAATTTTGTGTCAGAGAGAAAAATTCTTTCATGTTTATTTTAGAGAGTCCCAATTAAACATTTTCAGTTTGACTTTAGTTTTTGATCTTTTATAGCTTGTTTTATTTTTAGCAGATCACAGTAGAAAAGATTGACAAGCTAATGTAAAGCCCTCTTAATTATTCACTACAAATAAACATCAGTACCTTCATAGGCAGGTCATTCTCATGGATAATAAAAGTAGAAAAGAACTAATTAGATCGAACAATTTATCATTAATTGGCCAACAGATGCAATTTTTAGCCTAATTGGTATTTTCATTCTAACTCACCAGAGGGCACTCTTTTCTGGTGTATTGCTTTTAACTCTGATCTACTGAATATTATCTCATACCTCAAAAAATTTGAGCCAGTTATTGGGATCCAGATGTAGATCATTTGGAGATCAATGATGACTTTCTTTTCTAACTTTCAATAAGTTTTTTGGCCAGCTATTTCATTTTAGTGTCATTAGACAGGGCTTTGCAAACAAAACAGTCTTAAATGCTTTAAGCAGTAGTGTATCTGCTATAAAACTATCTTCTCAATTTAGTCTGTTTTGCTTGCTAGCTCTATAATGCTGCTGTTTCTCTGAATTCTTATTAAGGTTTCAGATCGGGTGGAGCGGCGGCTTCAGGAACTAGAGAGAGAGATGCGCACAGAAAGGGCGCTGGTGGAAAGACGCCAGGATCAACTGGGATTCATGTCCCTGCAGCTACAGGAGGTTTGTGAAAAGCACTTTCATGGAATGTAAATCTTGAATTTGGATATTTATTTAGCCATGTTAAAATGGTTATTGCATGTGACAGTATAATTCAACCCATCTGAGAAGTATTAATATCACATATTGGTTGTAGTTCAGTGTATAGAATCAGACCTCCCTGGTTTCATACTTGCTGTCCATGTGACGTTAGTTGGGCAAATTTCTTAACTTCTCTAGGTGCTAGTTTTGTCTGTGGAAAATGGAAATAATAATACTGTTGACCTAATTAGAATAGTGCAAGGATAAATGAATTAATGCCAGTAAAGCTCTTAACATACTGTCTGTCATATGCTCAGAAAATGTTAACTGAAAGTATAATTATTCTGATTAATTTTTCTGGGCATAGACTACACCAGGGGTCATCAAATGATGGCTCACAGGTCCAATCTGGCCCATCGTCTATTTCTGTAAATAGTTTTATTGGAGCACAACCACTCCTATTCATTTATATATTGTCTGTTGGTGCTTTTGTGACACAGTGGCAGAGTTGACTAGTTGTAGCCCACAAGAATATATGGCCCACAAGGTTTAAAGTATTGGCAGGTTGGCCCTTTATAGAAAAAGTTTGACAACTCCTGAATTAGGTTATTATCAAACCAATTTAAAATGGAGAATAGTTACCCTTTAGGTCCTCTTTTTAATGTGAAATTTCAGACATAGATAAAGTTGAAAATTTAGAATAAAGAATTTCTATATAACCTTTACCTAGATTCCCTTATTATTCATATTTTACCAGACTTGTTTCATCATTTATTCTAGATACATTCACATATATGTAATTTTTTTGTGAAACATTTTTAATTTGCAGACATGATATACATACTTATCTGTGAATCTTAAAGTCAACTGATTAAAAAATAAATTGTTTTTCATCTAAATAATTTTATATGTATGTTTCCTTTTGCAGTTACAGTGTAACAATCAAAATTAGGAAATTGAAGTCAATAAAATACTATGGCTTAATCTATACATTTTATTCAAATTTTGCTACTACAGTAGTGTCCTTTCCTGATCCAGGATAAAATATAGGTTCACACATAGCATTTAGTTGTCATGTCTCTTTAGTTTCCTTTAATCTGGAACGGTTTTTCAGTCATCATGAGTGATGACTTCTCAGGGTGTAAACAATTTATTTTGTAGAATGGCTTTCATTTTGGGTTTCTTGATGTTTGTTCATGACTAGATTCAGGTGATGGACTTTTGGCTTGAAACTTAGATAATTGGAGTTATGTCCTTCCCATAGTGTCATCTTAGGAGTCCTAGAATGTTGGTTTGTTACATTACTGGTGAAAACTGAACACTTGGCTATCGTGTTACCTACTGGGTGGGTTTATCCACTGTAAAGTTACAATTGTTCTCTTAAAATTATCTATTTTATAGGATAACTCTTTGGGACTTCAACATATCCTGTTTCTATTGTACTTTTGCTCACTAATTTTAGCATCTATTATTGACTCATCTGAAACAATTACTACTATAAGTAGTGCCAGATAGTGATTTAATATGATTCGTTCTACATTTATAGAATCCTACTGTAAGAAAGAACTTTTTATTATGTGCACTCATGGATTCTTATTTTATTATATTGGTTATATTTTGTGACTATCATTTATAATTTTAATTTCTTGAAATTCCCTTTGAATGTGTCTTTGGTCTATACATAAAATATAAAAAGTAGAAACAACAAGAAACCCAAAAGATTGAAAACAAATGGAAATTCTTTTCATTTATGAAATGATTTTTCTAAGAGTTCTAAAAATACACTTGTGTGTGCTTATAGATCGTTAACCTTTATTAATTGACAGATTTTTTAGAAGTTTTTTTTTCACTGTTAATTGAAAATTAGGAACAAAAATTGCAACACTGAAATTTAATGTAAGCTGATAGAAAAATCTGCTTTTGTTTTCTGAAATTCCATTTCCTTCCATTTCACAAAAGAAGGCATACCCTTGTAAGTTGGTAATTACTTTGAAGAGGATATGTTGTTGAATAATTAGATACAGCATGTGGGTAGGCTTTTTTTTTTTTTAACCTTGATTTTTATACATTTGTTCTCAAAGCAAATTTTTTTTTTTTTGCATAAGAATAGTACTAAAGAGACAATTGTTCTTTTCTGCAAGAGAAAATTAGAGAAATTTTCTGTACTTATTTTCTTCTCTCTTTACAGAATGCACAAAATTACAAAGAAAGAGGGAGCGAAAGATTGCTTCCCACCCCTTTTCTTAAGACACCAGAGCCTGGGTATTTGCATTGTAATTGTCAATTTGACTAAAAGCTTCAGCTGTGATTTGGAATCTCTGACAATACAATAGGAGATCACTATTGATGAGAACTGTTTAATTTCATATTTTGTCATTTTAATATAAGCAGTGACCTATACATTTTTACAAAGTGGTTTTAGATTATAAACAGTAGTGGAAACTAGGAAAGATTAAGCTGATGTATTTTCCTGCTCCCATGTTAAATGGCTTAGACTGTTCTGGAAAGGTCATGTTTAAGGAGAGGAAACACTTTCCCTTCTTTTTGATTATTAAAAATACTTATGGAAATTCTTATACCATATGATAATAGTAATCGATGCATTTTTTTTCCTGTTTATGGTGAGAAATTAAATCCATAGATGAGCAGGTGGGCTTGAACTTTTAGCCACTGTGCTCTTTTGCCTTCTTAAAATGTATCTTCCAATGTTAATGAAAAATACGACATTTAAAACTTAAGACATTAAGAGTTTTAATTTGAAATTACAGGATGCAGAGATTTGAAGGTATAGTATATTACAGGGAGGCGGTCTGTGGTTTTGGCAAAAACCTGCTGCTTTTTAGTTATCTCATGGGTCCTTAGGTCCTCAGAGCTTTACTTCTCCCCATTTAATGAAAAAGCACGTTGTTAATCATTGGAAATTGATCAAGGGAAAGCCATTTTCCTTTTCTTTAGAGTTTTTAAAGAATTGTTCACTCATTTCTGTTTCTTATCCTGATTTGAACAAAAGGGCCATGAATGCCCAGGAATCCACTTCCTTTTTTGAGCCTCAACTACTCATGTGCTATTGAAGTCACATGAATGCCGGGTTTTCTTTATTTAGTAAGGATCTTCATATCTTGTATTTTAAACAACCTGGTTTGGTATCTCATAGAAGTCTCTTCTTTAAGAGAGATGAGTATTTTATATGAGATATGTGACAATACTATTCTTTTAATATTATCTTTTTAAAATTGTAGATGATACTTTGAACTTTACTAAATCAATTCAAGTTTTTTTTTTTTTTTTTGAGGCAGGGCCACTCTATTGCCCAGGAGTGCCATGGCATGATCTCGGCTCACTACGGCCTTGAATTCCTGGGTTCAAGAGATTCTGCCACCTCAGCCTCCCTTGTAGCTGAGACTACAGGCAGGTGCCACCATGACAAGCTGATTTTTTTTTGGTTGTATTTTGGGTAGAGACGGAGTTTTACCATATTGCCCAGGCTGGTCTCAAACTCCTGACCTCAAGTGATTTGCCTGCCTTGGCCTCTCAAAGTGCTGGGATTACAGGAGGGAGCCACCATGACTGACCTAAATTCAAGTGTTGTTAAGCCTATACCCGTCAGCCTTTTCTATGTACACAGTCAAGTATGTAACATTGAGGTAAATTATCTCACTATAAACTCTTTTGATGAGGTGCTTGATAGTATCCTAGCTTTGATTGGTTAGTTTAGTGGAGTAGGGGTAGGCTTGGTGGGTGCTAGTGTTGAGAAAGGGGTATTTAGACTGTAAACACAAGCTAAAACCACTTTTTTGCAGGTCCAATATTTACATAAAATCCTAGATAAAAATTTAAACTCCTGATTTGCATCCTGAAAATTCCCGACTCATTTTTTACTGGCTGTTTCATATACATTGAATATTATTTCTTCATCTTGAGTGGAATTACTTAAAATGAAAAACATGTCTGGGCATGGTGGCTCATGCCTATAATTCCAGCACTTCGGGAGGCCGAGGTGGGCAGATCACTTGAGGCCAGGAGTTTGAGACCAGCCTGTCCAACATGGTGAAATCCCGTCTCTACTAAAAATACAAAAAAAAAAAAAAAGAAAAAAAAATTAGTGTGGTGGCGCACACCTGTAAAAAAAAAAAAAAAGGAGTCTGAGGCAAGAGAATCACTTTAACTTGGGAGGCAGAGGTTGTAGGGAGCTGGAATTGTACCACTGCACTCCAGCCTGGGTGACAGAGGGAGACCCTGTCTCAAAAAAAAAAAGAAAAAGAAAAGAAAAACATGAGATAAATGCTGGACACACACACACACACATGCACACACACACACTCTTCAGAGCATTTTTTTTGAGGCAGGGTCACACTTGCCCAGACTGGAGTGCAGTGGTGTGATCATGGCCCACTCACTCTCACCCTCCCAGGCTCAAGTCATCCTTCTACCTCAGCTTCCCAAGCAGCTAGAACTACAGGGCACACTATTATACCCAGCTAATTTTTGTATTTTTTGTGAAGACAGGTTTCGCCATGTTGCCCAGACTGATCTCAGACTCCTGGACTCAAGTGATCCGCCTGTCTCAGCCTCCCAACGTGCTGGGATTACAGGTGTGAGCCACTATGCCTGGCCGTCTTCCGAGCATTTTACAGCATATTAAGTCACTAGTTTCTCCCTTATCTGCATCAACCATATTCTATGCTTACATATAATCTAGATGCCTTAAAATTAAAGGATGTCTCATGGGGAAGTCTGTGGGATAGGCAAGGGCATGGATTCTTAAAAGACGATGGTGAAGATGAAGTGAGAAATTAAGTGTTTAAGATAGGAGCTCAGCTCAGTGGCTTTTAGTCTGTTCTGAGGGACAACCGGGTTATGTGAAACTCATCCATAAAATAAGGCCATATGAAGAAACATTAATCGATACTTTTTTTCCAACATTTTTTTTCACTTTTTTTTTTTTTGAAAAACCTAATGATGAAGTAGCTATTCATTTTTGT